CACGGCCAAAGAGCCCAAAAACCCCACAATAACCATTCTAAGCATTTATTTGGCATTGTTCTTTTGAGCAATAAATGCTTAAGCCTCTCTGTCTCATACAGTGTGTTGCAAGTTATATATGTCAACCAAATGTTCCTAAAGCCTCAGGGGAAGAATTTTATGGCATCTGAAACTGTCTCCCTAGAGTTGTCCTATTAATATTCTGGATTTTATAAGAAACTTGCATTGTCAGTTGTTTTATAATTCACTTTAATTCACAATTATATCCAAAATGTTAATCAATTACAGTGGAACCTCGACTTACGAACGTCCCTACTTGCGAACGATTTGAGTTACAAACGGCTCCGTTAGCAAAAAGTTGGTTCGACTTGCGAGCGGAGCCTAGACTTATGAACCGAAAAAAAGAAAAAAAGTCTTTCCTGCCCTTTTTTTTTACCTAAGTTCACCTTAGGTCAAAAGAAGAAGAAAAAATTCACTCCCTAGTGGTAGAGTACGGATTAACTGGCTTTGCATTAGTTCCTATGGGAACTAATGCTTCGACCTAGGAACAGCGCCTCGACCTACGAACGGAAAACAGCAGATACGGATTAAATGGTTTTCAGTGCATTCCAATGGAAAAGTTTGCCTTGCGAACTTTTCGATGTATAAACTTAATTCCAAAATGGATTAAGTTCATAAGTCGAGGTACCACTGTATTAGTTAGTAATTCAAAAATGTCTTGTAAGTATGCGACCCAATCCTATGCATACTTACTCAGGAGTAAGTCCCACTGTGTTTGCTGCACGTGAGTGAGCATAGGACTGCAGCTTTATTTTTCTCTCCCTTTGAAAAGAGAGAGTAGCATCTAAAGGGTCAGTTCACAAAACAGTGTACATAGGAGAGGACCAGACAATCCAGAGGTCCCAGGTTCAGGCCTTGGCTTCTCCCATCAAAAACTGAGTAAATGAACATTAACAGAGATATTACCGATTTTGAGCTTTTGCATACTTCCTTCCTTCCTGTTTCTTTCTTTCTTTCTTTTTAATTAATAGTTGTAACCAAACTAGGAATTGTGGGCACTTGATCCTACAAATGACCTTCCAGTTTAAAAAGTTTGTGCCAGACATACTGGCTAAAATCCAGGCTTGTAACTTACACCGTGGAAAACCGATGACATTAGAATTATGGCTTTTATTCTGAAATGTTTTATAATTCTCATTTCCCCACACACACTCGTGAAGCTCCTGTGGCATTCCTTTTCATTGTGGGAAAGCCATAGTGGTCTGCGGGACAGGAAGGTCTTCAATTTTTGAAAATCGCTGCAGCTTATTATGTCACTAGTCTTGTGAGGCATAACTTCTGGCAGCAGAATTTCCACTGCTGGCTTCAAGCTAAAGCATGGAAAATTTGGGAGACTGTGGAATTAATACTTCACAAAAAAGAAAGTTTCCAGGCTTGAGCGACAAGACCAAGTCTTCCACTTTACTCATAGGCAGTGGGCAACTAAGGAGGCACTGCTCAGGCTGTGTGGCACTTGCCACCATTTTCCAGCAACTGCTGCCTGAGGCAGCCACTTAACTCTATGCTATGAATATTCAACTGCCACAAAACTTTTAATGTCAGAACCAGTCCTGACAAATGCCTTAACGTCTTTGCGATACAGTACTATCTGTATGGATGACACCTGTCTAGGCTTCATCTCTGGCAACTGTGATTGAGAAGCAAAGCTAGAAAAATACTCCACATTTTGCTTACTGACAGCCCCTGACTGGTGGTGGCGGCAGGGTGAAGGGTACTGCATTCATAGACAGCAGCATCAAATTTCTAGCCAACTAGATGCCAAGGGTTTATCAGCTCTGAGGATGTGACTGCTCTGACAGATTAGGTGTTTGCCTGCCAAACTGCAGTCAGTGTGTGATCAAAGAGGAACCATTGGTATCATTTTGCTAAAGCAAAAGAGATGGGACTGGCCAATCCAGGTGGAATAAGATGCCACTGGGAGATGCCTGTAAAATCAGATCTGTAGTAAATTAAATCTGATACAGAGAAAACCGATAATCTGAACCAACCCCTAGTTTTGAAGAGTGAATTAATCTTCCCTGTCATGATAGCAGCATCCTAGGTGAAGCGCTGGGAGACAGCAACTTCCTGTCTCGAGTACTGTAGCATCACAGTCCTTTTAATTTATCTCTAATTTTGTACAGTTTGGTTAGTTGAACAAAACATACTGTATGCAGTCCATGTATCACTGGCCAGTCCTCCTTAAATAAGCAAGATCCAAATTAGCATGGTTTCTATGAATAATGGTCACAGTCCATACAAATAGTCTGGTTGTATTTGGATCTTTCCATGGTGCATAGACATTCTACAAGAATAATCAGAAGTTGACATTTAACCGTAACATACTTGATAATGTAGTGGTGCTGTAACAAACGGCTAAATCTTTTTCTGTTTTTTTTTACAAAATGTAGACATGGTGCTTTTGTTTTTGAAACTGTCTACCACAGTTGTATGCTCATTCTGAAAACGTTTCTTGGGGGTTGTGAATATGGATCTTGCAGTTGCATAGGTACCTATTGATTTTGATCATGCAGAAATGTCAATAATGAGATCCTTTTAGTTATCTCACAGAGCTCAAATCCTCTTGAGTAAGCTACATAAGTGGCATAATGTTTGAAAGCAAACTGTCCCAAGTTAAGAAAATGCTGCAGATATTGTTAGTTACACAATGAATCACAAAGGTTAATATGCAGCTAATAATGTCTTGTATTTTTTTAGTCAATTTAGCTTTAAAATTATGCTGTTTGTGTTAAACAGGCGTAACTAGGCAGGAGGATTTTAGCCAGTTGTTATTTTGTATGATATTAGATGTGAGCTTCTGAAACATGGCTTTTAAAAGCGTTCTGTAAGATATTGCGTTCCTACTGATTGAGCATCACCTGTCGTCTCACTCTGCTAAACAAATAAATGGTTAAACAAAAATAAAAAGCAAGAAGAGAAAATGGAAATTAGGAATTAGGGAGAATTTTATCCAGATTTGCAAAATTCTTCATATTTGGGATTTTATTGAGTTTAAAACTGGATGTGGGAAGACCCCAGTCAGACACATTCATCCATCCAAGTCCAAAGTTTTGAATGCTTAACTTTTTTGGGGGGGGAATTGGCTTTGAATCCTTGTATATGCAGTCACGTTGGTGGTAAATTAGATCTGGCATTATTTTTTTCAGAGAGGCTCTCACTCTTCTCTGAATGCCTATAACAAGTGGGTACAACATGGTCCTCTTCTTGCTCAGAAGAGATAATACCTCTTGAATTTAGTGCAGGTGGGGAGTATTTTGTTTCAGTGCATTTTTTAGGAATTTAGCAAAACTCACAAATTTTGTCATATTCAGGTTAGTCAGACCTTAACGTTTTAAAAAAACTGAATGGACAGCATTGATCAATTTGCCCATCTCTGGCTTGGGCTGTACCGGCACCTATTTCTCTCCCCTCCCTTCTTCTAACAGTCGACTGGTGCTATTAGAGATATGTTGATGTGTTGACCATATGAAGTAATCTGTGTGTAGTGCAGGAGCACTATGTATGGAATCTGGTGCTAAGCAACCTTTTCTATTTCTGCCTGGGCACCCAAATGAGCTAAAAAGCAACTTCTACCTGCTAGTAGTTATCAGAGAATTTTGCCAGTCTCAGTGACACAAGAGTTAAGTGATTAAGCTTTCAGGAGTGTCAGTGAAATCACTGTATATAAACATGCAACAGTTCCCATTGATTTCTGCATGGCCTGCATAACCTGACTTGCTCTGAGTTGTGACTGTGAGTTATGATCCTGTGGACTACTGAGGAGTAGTATGAGTGTCACCAAAACTCAGCCAGCAGGACTGCATTTTAGATTACACCCCTGTCCTTTAACTGTGAGTTACATTGCAGTGCTGTTGAGTGTTTCTGCAAAAGCCCATTCAGTCAACTGGAGTTATAACACCCTAACAGAACATATAAGGAAAGGAAGATGTCAACACATTCTTTCTATTTGTAAAGCAAATTTTGTAATAATAATAAACCTGTATGCTGCATTTTTCTTGGTTCAGAGATTATGATTATTTCAAATAGAGGATATGTAAGACATGTAAATAATGTAAAGGTCAATATTATACCACCATTTTGTACCAGCAGTTTTCTTCTTAAATATCTATATACATTAAATTGTTATGGTATTTTTGTGTGCCTTAGATTTACATTTTAAAATTTGTATATTTTTTGTGAGCTAAAATTGTTAAAACATAACAGCTGTCTGTACAGTAGGGAGAGTTGTGAATTCCTCCATTTATTCATCTGTGCATGGATTTTGTATGGCGGTTTTAAAGCATACAGAAGTTAACCACAAAGCAAATCTGCAACTTTATGGTACTCTACAACAGTTGTATCCAGTCCAGAAGTAGATTCTTGACCTCAATAATGGAACCCTTGGTATTTGTTTGTAGATCAAGGTTATAAACCTACACTGTACATGCTTATTTGGATATAAATACCATTAAATGAGCATACTTCTCAGTAGATACATTTTGGATTGCAAAGTTGCCATGTCAAGTTTGCAGAGCACATACCATTATGAGTAGAATAACAAACCCTCTTGACTCCTCTCATTAAATCCTGTACGTTGTACTAGGTTTCAGGTGAAACTTAAATCTTGAAAACAGCTAGTTAAAAATGAGCGTCACCAATAGCTTAAAATCAGGCAGGG